GATTTTCATATCACGTTATTAAAGTTTTAAAGTACTTTTTCAATTAAATACATTAGTTACACAGTATAAAAATGATCGTCACTTTATATCACGTTTAGTGATAGTATCGAAAGTCCACTATGCTGCTCGGATACCATGAATACCATTAAGGGGGTTACACATAAATCAGCAAAAAATCCCTTAAAAACACTTGATTTTAATAGTGTGTGACCTCCTTATGGTATCCATGAATACAAACCCTAGTTGTTAATTATATCATAAAGTGTGCTTACAGATTTGCCAAAGCTTTCTGGGGACAATAAGTAGGATAATTTCATAAAATAAATTAATCAATCAACAAGTGTACCCAAAAAGCTCAGACCCAGACACTTTACCAATACCTACTTTACCAACAAGACACTTTACCAACAACATGCAACATGATATTTTAGCATTTTGTTAGTTTGTTTGATTGTGTAGAGATTAAATGTAACCCTGTGTGTTGTTGGTAAAGTGGGTGTCGGTAAAGTATCCCAGACCCCAAAAAGCTAACTCGAAATTTGGCCATAAATGTAAAATAATCAATTGTATTATTTACAAGCAAAATTTATATTTTTGTCCAGGACAGGACAGTCTGTGCCTGTGTCTGCATCCACCAACAACATTGGTTTCAATGTCTGTTGATTAAAAAAAATCCTTAGATTCACTACATTAATACACTATGATATCTCTTTAAACCTTTTTCTTTGATTGAGATGTAGCTAGTCTCAACAATTCGATTTAAAATATTTGTCCAACACTGATTTGTTTCCATGTCACTGCACATGTCAGGTTTTGCTATAGTTTACTGTTTCTGTAAACATACATATAAGAGAGGCAGACAACTAGCTCAATGCACATTTTCTCAAAAATGTTAGTAATAAATTTATTAGGGTTTTAAAATGCAGAATCTTTCATTTGATTGACTTCAAAGATTCTTAAATGCAAAAGGATAAATATTTTTGATAAATAAAATGTAGAATTCAAACCTGTCACCCATTGTTACATTTGGCTTTCCTTCATTTATGATCTGAATTATTTTCAATGTTCCATAATTTCATCAAAATGAATAATATGTAATAAATCCATCTCAAGTTAAGATTATTTATATTTATATAAATTTTAGATCCAGAAACATTTTTAGATTTGTTTATTTCAGTAATAAAGATTAGTGAGTGGTTGACCATGGATTTTTTCATTTCTTGTGCAATAGAATACATAATGTTTCAGTAAAGTGTTAATAACATTTAATTCTTAACTGAAGATGGTTCCATGTTACTTGTAAGTGTAATAGAATAAAGGATGTGGTTTTTAGATTATTTGTCATCTCAAGGTTAAATGTTTATTTGGCTAAAGCTCTTGACTATACAAAATAATTATTAAGAAAATCTTATTAGCAATTTCACAAATTATTGTTATTATATTATTATTATTATAAAATCTATTAAAACCAAAATCTTTTTCTATAAAGTCCTCAAATAAAAACTTCTATATGATAAAATATTTCTTCAATAATAATATTAAATTATCATCATAGATACCAACGCAATAAAAAAAAGAATATGTGAGTGTGTGTGAATGAAGATTATGATGAAGATGATGAAGATGCAAATTCTCGTAACATGAATGATGGATAATATATTTATATTAATATCTCTATAATGTTGATGTTTCATTTTGTACCATTAATTTTTCTAAAACTCCTTCAAAACCTTGTCGACCTTTCATAGAATTTTCTCTAAATCGTTGAATAAAAAAATCCTCAATATAATTTGTAAATTTGTTAATTGATTCATTACATCGAATTCTTGCTTCTTGTTTGAATAATGTTCTAAAGTTAATTTAAATTTAAATTTTTTCCCATAGAAAAAATTTATATTATTATTTAATGTTAATTTTACTGTTTCAATCAATAAATAAAAAAGTTACCTTGATGGATCATTGGGATCCTCAGCATATGTAATAATTTCAGAAACATTTATTATATTTCTCATAGTGAGATTTGTACTTGTCATCTTTAAAAGTTTGTTTTTTGGATCAACCTCACTAACTTCCCTTGCATATGACTCGGCAAAATCACCAAAAATTCTTCTAAAAATCCTAGGTATGTTCTGATGAATTTTTACTAAACGTTCTGTTCTGAGTATTCCTGTTTTTGGATCAACCGAACGATCCAACACATCAATTGTAACAACGTGAGGACAATTATCATTTGGATATTTATTCCAATGAGCTGCAGATACTTTTGACCACGGGTATAAGAAAGTATAAGAAGTTTCAAAAAGTTTCATTTTCTCCCTTTCCTTCGTACGTGTACTACTTTAAATTGTATTTGTCCTGATAATTACAATAACTATAATAATTGCAATAATAAGAAATGTTAAATCTATTATTACAACAGGAAGGAAAGGGAAAATAATTTTTTTGGGTTTGAAAATCAATCAACATCTCTTGTTTGTCACATGTGACAAATATTAATATTATTAATTTTAGATTTTTTTTTTTGACACAAGAATTAAAAATTTAAAGATGATGTTTAATAGGCATGTTATTTCTGTATCCAGATTATTTATTAGACAATCTTGTGTGATTAGAAGGTCAATGCATAATAATAGTAACTTTTTTAGAAATGATTTGAATTTGAAGGTATTGCTATTATTAGGTTATTGGGATTATTTTGAATCATTGAAATATTTAATTAATTTAAAATTTTCTAAACTCTAATCAAAAACAGAAAAAGCAAACTTCTATCAAAACAATTACAAGTCTTATTGGTTTGTCAGGTGTGACTATTTGGTACATACACAATAAAAAAGTAATTCATGCAGATACATCCAGTAATCTTGTAAAAGATTCAATTGAAACTATAGGTACTTATTTAGAGAATATATTAATTATAATTAACAATATTTTTAATTTATATTTGGCATTTAATAAATTTTGAATTTAGAGGAGCCAGAAAGTAAAATTAGAATCCCAGCATGCATAACGCTATATGACGGATCAAAGGCAGTACTTATTGGGATGGGAACTAGAAGAGTTTCGTTTTTGAATATAAATGTATATATTGTTGGAATGTATATAAGAGAAAAAGATATTGAAATACTGAAAAAATGGAAGGTTAATAATTTATCATTGTTGTTAAAAATGAAAAAGATGATAACATTATTATTGCTATTTTAATGAAATAATTACTAATTATATTTAGGGGTTTGATAAAGAGAAATTTTTGTCTTCAAGTGATGAATCAGTTGCATCAATGTTATTGGATCAACCTATTGAAATCTCCATTAGGATAGGTATGTTCACACATAAAGATTTAGGCTATAATTATGATTATATCTTTTAATATTAACAATAGAACTTTAGAACCTATTAGAAACACCAATGGACAACATTTACGAGATGGATTTGCAAGAGCTTTAAACATTAGATTACAAGACGAGAGTTTATTGGATAAACATCTTGAGGTAATAATAATAATAGTAATAACAAACAGCAACAACAACAACAACAACAATAATTTTTATTTTTTAATGTAATACTTGGATGTAGGAAGTAGTGGAAGCAATCAAGATATTTAAAACAAAATTTTCAAAATCAATTATAAGAGCTGGCACTGCTTTAGTTCTTACTAGACTGAAAGATGGAGGTTTAAGAATGGATTATGAGGTAAAAACTTACAATATGATTGGTAATAATATAAATATTAATAATATCTTTACTATAATGCAGGGGAAAGAAATGGGGATTGTATATAATGATTGGTTATCAAAAAATATTTTTATGGGATATTTATCGGCAAAACATCCAATATCTATAAAGGTTTGTTTTGAATTAACATCAATCAAAGATTTTTTACTAACCAAATTTATAATAATAATAATAATAATAATGATTTTTAAAAGGCCAAAGAAAGTATCGCAGAAGGATTTGAAAACTTGTTGCTAAAATAAAATGAATGGATTGTTTGTTTCATTAATAAATATGTTTACTCTACATACAGTATTTATTACATTAAAAAAAATCATTTCCTTCAAGCACATTATAATAATATAAATTCAAATGAGTTGACTCTATTTAAAAAGTTCTTTTAAAAGAATCTGTGGATGTTTGAAAAATTATTGGTCTACAAAATATTTCAAACTTTACCTTCTTGTCTTAGAGTATTCTTGAGTAACCAATAAATACACCAGATCATTTATTTTTATACGAAGATGATTATTATAAACTTTTAACATTTTTGCTCCGTATGTAAAATCCGTTATCCCTTAAACTGTCCACATTTTCGAATAAGGGAATTTCGAAAATTTTATTGGTAATTACAAAATTCCACCAATCAAAATTAACCAAATCGCACAATAAAAAATTTTATTATGAATATATCAATTTTTAAGGTAATGATCGACACGGGCATTGTAAACTTTTTACAGTTTTACAAAACCCATAATAATAATGGCCGAATTTCTATATATAGAAATTTAGTATTTTGCTTTATAATAAAATAATACTTAGCTAAATTCTATAAAGGTAAATAAACATTTTACAAACAAAATAAACATCATCTAATTAAATAATTTGTTTTTTTATTTCTTTATAATAACCAGGGGGTAAGTATTATATTATAATTTAACTTTTACAACACAAAATAAACATCATCTAATTAATTAATTTGTTTTTTTATTTCTTTATAATAACCAGATGGTAAGCATTATATCATAAATCAGCTTTTTACAAAATAAACTTTATTAACATCATCTAATAAGTAAATTTATTTTTTATTTCTTTATAACCAGATTGTAAGTATTATATTATAAATTAATTTTTATAACAACTAAAACAACTAAATAAAATTAATTTTTATTTCTTTATCCCTTAAACTGTCCACATTTTCGAATAAGGGAATTTCGAAAACTTTATTGGTAAATTACAAAATTCCACCAATCAAAATTAACCAAATCGCACAACAAAAAATTTATTATGAATATATCAATTTTTAAGGTAATGATCGACACGGGCATGGTAGACTTTTTACAGTTTTACAAAACCCATAATAATAATGGCCGAATTTCTATATATAGATCAATGTATAAAATCTCAAATATCTATGGCGTGCCAACCATGACAAAAGTCTACTACTACATTATTTGACATTTAAAATGAGGGTGGCTTTATTTTAAATATTTTTATCCCTGTTTTAAATGTCAAATAATGTAGACTTTTGTCATGGTTGGCGCACCATAAATATCATTTGTTAATTAGAAAGCATGATGATCAGAAAAATTTTTCTATATAAAAAAATTTAATCGTACAAATTTGTACAATAGCCAGTTTAAGGGATAATAACCAGTTAGTAAGTATTATATTGTATTATAAATCAACTTTTATAATTTTTATATCTAATTAATAAGTTTATTTTTATTTATTATAATAACCAGCTGGTAAATAGTATATTATAAATCAACACAAAAATAAATTTTATTAAAACATATCACCCAATAAATCTTTTTTTATAATAACCAGGGAGTAAGTATCATATTATAAAATTAACTTTTACAACACAAAATAAATTTTTATAACATCATCTAATAATGAAAATGAGATTGAGATTGAAGAAGAGGATTTTGACATGGATAGTCTGGTTAATGAGGTTATTGGTTGATAATATTAACATATATGTTTTGTATATTTTCATTATAACATTTAGAATATAATGAATGAAACATTTAAAAATATTTTATGATATAAATATTTTGTTAATTGTAAATATAATATAAATATATTAGAACTACTAAATTTTTTTTTCTTTTGAACTAAACAATTATATAAAATAATCTAGACTTTTGTTCAAAGGGCAAAATCATGATAAATACCCTTTTTTTTTTCATATGGTAATTAATTATATTATAATATGTAAATCATATCCCCCCTTCTCAAATAAATAAAATAATAAATATTTTTGCAGCTATGTGATTCATTTGATACTTATTCATCATAATGATAATTGAGACAGTTGCAAACATTGCAGAAAAGGTTGCAACTCAAGCTTTAAAATCTGCAGTTGCAGAAAATGTGAAAACAGTTGCAGACACCAACTTTACCTGAGATTTATTGATCAACTGAAGCAGATAAACAAATAAATATATAAAGATAATTATTGTTATTTCTAAAAAAACAATTGAAGAAAATTGTTGATACTAAAGCATTAAAACAGATTTCTTTGTCTTAGAATTAATGCACAATGTAATCTTCTGAGATTAATAAAATCTAATTGAAAATGTACTAAAAAAAATAAACAAATGTTTGGAATTTTTTTTTTTTTTATCAAAAAAGAAATTTTAAAATATATAAATATGATAGATTTTGGACTGAGTTTGATGTATCAAAAAAAATAATTATTATTAAGGCTCTGAACAGATTGGATCAGATCGGATTTGGTGGAAATCTGATCTGATCTGAAATCTGTTTAAGCTGATCTGATCTGATCTGGTTCTTCAAAATATTGGATCTGATCTGATCTGATCTGGTTCTTTAAAATATTGGATCTGATCTGATCTGATCTGGTTCTTTAAATATTGAATCTGATCTGATCTGAAATCTGATCTGATCTGATCTGAGATCTGATCCGAGATATTACACATGCAAACTCGAAGCATAGTGGACATTCGTTTTATCACATGTGACAAAATCGATCATCGATCTTTTTTATATTGTGAAACTTGCTATTTCAATTGAATTTAGAATAGAAAAAAGTCGCGTGACTGCGCACAAAAACTTGTTTAACCTGAGATGTATTTTTTTAACGCGTATATTTTGCTTTCTATGTTTTCAGTATGTGTGTGAAAAATGATC